TAATAAAATAAAAAAAATTAAATTTTTNTTTTTTTTTTAGAAAAATTCACTTTTTTTTATATATAAATCTTTTATATATATAATAAATTTTTTAACTAATTAACCTTTTAAAAAAAAACATAAAATATATAGAATTTTGGGGTTATTACAAACTATTAATTAAATTATTTAAAAATTATATTATTATTACAAAATATGTATATACAATAAGTTTTTACTTTATATATATTTATTAGCCATTTTTTGAAAATATAAATAGCTAACAAAATTAGTCAAAAATATATATATATATAATTATATAGATATATTTTTCAAAAACAAAAACAAAATATTAATCAAACTATAACCAAATAAGGTTTTTCCATCATTATTAAAGTTTGAAATAAAGTGGCATATTTTTAAATTTATTCAAAAGTTAAAGTAGGTAGCATTATCTAAAATTATAAAGCATAATTATTATAGTTAAATTAATTTTGTTAATCGTTTAAGTTTTAATAAGCTAATTAATATGCTTTTGAAAAATGCATATTTCCTATATCTTTTTATAACATTTATCTTAAATTCTAATACAAAATATTTGTTTATATAAATATTAACTAAAAAATAAGTTACTTTTATGCTTTCATCTGTACGATTTAATCTTTATTCATTTAAATTTTATATATTAGTAATGTTTTCATCTTCGTCTGAAATGTCTTCTTTTTCTTCATTTTAATTATTAGGTTCTTTTTTAATTAATAAAGTGATTAAATTTATGTTTAATAATTTCCCGATACCTTTTTATTATATATTAATTAAAATATAAAAATTTTGTATTAAATTCAAATGTAAATATATATAATTTAATATAATTATATAATATTATTTTTTAAATATATATTTGTATATATTTATATATATATTCATTTATTTTACTAATAAATTGTATTCGTTTAACATATTATCTAAATCTATTTATTATTAAGAATTATTATTATTTTAATCATTAGTTTGTTAAATATATTTTTCATTTATATATTATTCTTATTTTTATTCATTTACAAGATTTTCAGAATATTTCCTTAATTTTTTTTCATGCTATTTTTATTTAAAATTAATAATATTTTATTTAATTTTTTTTTTTAAAAAAAAGTAAATAATTTTTTTTTTACAAATAAAAAGAAAATCATTCATTATTTTTTTTTTATTATTTTTTTCAAAAAATAACAATTTTTTTTTTTTTTTTTTTAACAAAAATAAAAAATATTTTTATTATTTTATTTTAAAAAAAAAAAAATATTTTTTTTTTTATTATTTTTATTTTTTAAAAATTACTTATTAAAAAGGCAATTTATAAATAATTTTTCTTTCTATTTTTTTTTCTTTATTATTTTTTTCTTTATTTTATTATTCATAATTATTTATTATATTATTTTATTAATTTTAAGAAAAATTTATTTAGTATCATTATTCTTATTAGTAAAATATTATTAATAAGTATTCTATTATTAACAATCTTAATTTATATTTTAATTAGATATATCTTCACTAGTACATATAATATTTATATTCTCTTCATTTTTTTAGTTCAAATCAAAATTTTATTTTTTTAAATTAATAGTACTTTGTGATAAATAATTAAAATCAATAGTAGAATATTATTCATTATTTTCAGTTTTTATTCCATTTTTTTTTTCTGTATAATTTATGTTGTTTTCATATAGAATAGCTATTTCATCATTATTATTTTAATTATTAAAAATTTTATTAAGATTTTATTTAAAAGAATTATTTTTAATTATAAATTCTTTTTTATTAATTTAAATATTATTTTTAATCTTTAATTATAAATCTTATTATAATTAATTATTTTCGAGATTTTTCGGAGATTCTTTTTATTGATTTTAAATATTATTAAGAAGTGGATTTAAATATATTTTTTCTAAATGTAATTTCGACTATAATTATTAATTTTTTGAATATCTATTTTAATTATGTTGTTACATATTTAATTAAGGAAGTCTAGTTCCAGGACTTCCAACTCTTTTTTAAGGTAAATTATTAATATTAATATTATTAATATTATTATTATTATTAATTATTATTATTATTATTATTATTATTATTTTTATTATTATTATTATTAGTATTATCATTATCATTTATATTTTTATTTTTTATTTATTCTTTATTTTTACATTAATTAATATTATTTTATTCTTTATTTATCTAGTTTTAATCAAAATTAGAAAATTAATCTATATTTTTAATATTATCTTTTTCTAAATTATTTTAAGGAGAGAAGAAACGTACATAATTTTATAGTTTTCTTATTTTTAATTATTTTTATATTTTCACTTCCTTTATAAAATCTTCAGTTCTTTTTTTAATTATATCACTTTCTTTTTTTATTTATAATAATACATAAACATTATTTTTATATATGTACCTAATATTTATTAAGCAGTTGGCCTTTTTAAAGGATCTACGTTTAAAATTTCTGCGAGTAATTTCTTTAATTCTTACGAATACTAATTAGGTATAGGATTATAATTTCCCCTAATAATTTTCATAACTAAAGCATGCATATTTTCTGATTCAAAAGGTGGCTTTAAAGCACATAATTCATATATAAGTATTCCTAGACCCCATATATCTACTTTAGTCGTATATGGACGATTTTCAATTAGTTCTGGGGCTAAATAATATGGAGAACCGATAATTGTTTTAGCTTTTTCATCTGAATTCGAGAGTACTTTAGAAATACCGAAATCGGCTATTTTTATCATTTAGTTTTTGGTTAGGAAAATATTCTAAGCTTTAATATCTCGGTGTATTATATTTTTTTAATGAATATAATTTAAACCACAACATATTTATGTTATATAGTCTAAAATTTGATTTTCGCTTATATTTTATTTATTATTTTTGACTTCTTTTATTTTTTAAGAAATATCACCACCTATATTTTTATTTTTTATTAAAAAATAATATGATTATTATTTTAATTATTTTTTTACATTCAGCATAATCCATTACTATACATAAACTACCGTTCTTTGTTTTATATGACTCGTGATATGTTATTATATTTTAATGGCTTAATTAAGAGAGTATTCTAGCTTCTTTATAAGCGTTTTACTTTTCCTAATCTGTCATATGGGATATATTTATTTATTTAATTACACAATTTTAATTGTCAATTGTTCTTTGGACTAAAAAGGCCTTTCCAAAAGAACCTTCACCTAGTAATTTTATTTTTTTATATTCTATTTGTTTTTATTTCATTTGTTTTTTTTGTTATATTACTATTAATTTTTTATTATTTTGAAAGTGTTTTTTTTTAATCAATAATACATAATAATGCTTTCTATATTATAATTTCTTTTATTTTATTTTTTTAGGAAAAAAAAAAAAAAAATACTAATTTTTTTTTTATTATTTTTTTTTTTTTTTTTTTTTCAATTTCATATTAATTTTATAATGTTTATTTTTTTTTTTAAAAAAAAAAAATTCTTATATTATACTAAAAAAGCAATCGAAATTTAATTAAAAGAAGGGCTTAATTAAAAAAATGTGTTTTTTGGATAATATAAATTACTTATTAATTTATATTATATATTATATATAATATACATTATATTATTTTATTATAATTAATATAATAATATATATTATATAATGTAAAATTAATAATACAATAATTAATATTTTGTATTAAACTAAAAAAAATATACAAAATAAAATAAAAGTTAAATTACTACATTTCGGATAATAAAAAATAAATATTTTCAAAAACTTTTATTTAATGCATTATTGTAAATTTCCCTTAGTCTATATTCCGCTTTATTACTATTATTTTATAAATTTAATATAGTTTAGATATCTAAAGGTCTCATATGGAATGATTTTTTATTTTTTTTCGCAAAACCTCTCAAAATGAAGTAAAATTTAGCATATTCTTATCCTTTTATATATAAACTATAATCAATAAAATTGACAAAAACTCTTTCCATTTCATTTAATTATTAAACTGAAAAATAAGGGAAAGCCTTCGAAAAATTATTGTTTTCAAAAGATTCATCATCCCAAATTTTAGACGCAAGAATCATTGCTGTAATTGTAATTTTTCTCCAGTTTAAATTGTTTAGGGAAAAACCACTATTTAATAATAGTCTTTCTATATAAATAAGGGTTATTATAGGAATTTCCCTTTCCATTTTACAGGATATGATGATGTTCTTGCAGTAGTTTTAGATTGTTTACTATTAAGGCTTTACTAAAAGAACATTATCAGGGTTATTTTCAGTATATGTTTTATCAAATAATAGTCTATTTTATTATTAATTGTTTGGAATTACAATAGAGTATCTTGATATAGTGGAAAACTTGAGATTTGTTGAGTATATATTATTATCATCTATATCTTCTTTTTAAAATGATGTATTTTCTTAATTTTCAGATGTACATATATTTTCCTCTAATTCTCCTTAATTGATTGTTTCGTAAATTTCTTTTTATTATTTTTAAGCTTCTATAAGATTATTTAAATTTAGATTATTTATTTGGCTTTATTTTATATGTAAATATGATTCTTTGAGTATGTTTTCGATTTCGTTTCGGCTTTTTTCGAATTCTAAACGGCTTTCGTTTTTAAAGGTTATATTTAGGTCTTTTTATTGGTTTTTCCATATATATTTATTGTTTTTTATTATATCTTGATATTTTAAGTGGTTTTCACTATCAATTATATTATTTTATATATTATTAGTATTTTCCTTTTTTTTTTTTTATATATTTAATTTTTTTTATTATTAACAAAAAATACGTGAATCATAGTAGGTTCTTCTACTGGATTTGTTGTTTTATTTATTGATATGTCTTTAAGTTTATTGACTATTTTTTTATTAGATTCACCTTATTCTATGTAATTCAATAAAATACAACTTAAGCAATATGAAAGTTCTTCAATATCTAAATTTATTATTGTAGATGTTAATTTTCCACCTTCATAGGATAAATACATATTTTTTATATTTTAATATTCTAAGTTAGGTTTTAAATCATCACAATTTTCGTTCTATATTTTTTGTTTATTATTTTTTTTTATTATTATTTAATTACTTAATTTTAATTATTTAAGATTTTTAGATTTCTCAATAAACGAGTTTCTTTATTTTTTAAAGTTAATCTTCCGTTTTGATCATAGGTAGATATTAAATATAAATCGTCATTTGCTTTTATTTTTTTGTTACTTTTTTATTATGAAATTTATCTTTATAGCCTTTATTTACTAATAGATTTACTATTACTTTTACTATTACTATTACTATTACCTATATTATTAGTTTATTTATAAAACTATTATATTTTTTTTACTATTTTGTTTTTAAATAATTTATTTTGTTTAATTGTTTCTTGATTATTATTAAGAAGTTAATTTCGGTTTAATTTTTTCTAAACTAACTTTTTTATTTATATGAGTTTAACTTTTTTTTATATCAGGTTTATTTTGTGTTTTTGAAATAATTTAATCATAATCAATATTATTTTAAGAATTCAAATTATTTTCCTTTTAATTTTCACTTAATTATTATTTTTATATATACTTTTATATTATTTTATTAAATTTTTTTTTTATATTTTTTAAATTATAAAAATACTTATTTTTCTTTTATAATTCCATTTATATTAAAAGTATATTAGTTCATTATTTTTTCAACATCTTTTTAAAAGGCATCTTCTTCTTAATTATTTGAATCAAATTTATTAAATTTGTTTATTTTATTTTATAAGGATTTTTATTTTTAAATTTATTTTTAAATTTATTATTATTATTATATTATTATTATTATTATTATTATTATTATTATTATTATTATTATTATTACTATTATTATTCTAATTAATCGCTTTAAAATTCAATATTAGTTTTATATTTTTATTTATTTATATTTTTAATTATAACGTTTTTTTATGAATTTATTTTATTTATTTTTTATTATTTTTCATGTTTTTGTATTTATTTCTCTTTTTCAATATTTTGTCCCTGACAAGGTAATATTTCTGATATATAACTTATTAGATTTATTAATTTAGTTGAATGTCCTGGTAGAACCTATAAATATTATATATATATATTAAATTTTTTTCTTTTTAAATAAATATACTTTTATACTATTAAATAATTGTTCAATATCTTTATTTGACAAATATGCAAATTTCGCTAAATCATACCCATATCCTCTCGAAATTAATTCTTTAGCATATTATTATAAATTAAACAACTTTAATAATCTATATAAAGGAATGATTTATATATTTTTTTTTTCTGTTTAATTATAATCGTTTATTGAATTTTATTATTCCCATATATTTGTTTCAAAGTTAGAGTTTTTTTATTACGATATTTAATTAGAATCATTAAAAGATTTATTTACTTTGGTAAATTTAATCGATGTTGTTTATAAAACTGGTTTAACATTTTATATTTTTTTTTGTAAACTTTATTTTTTTGTTGTTCTTCCCACTTTTTCATTCTTGCTTATTTTTATTTTTTTAATCTATATATTTTTATACATATATTATATTATATTTTATTTTATTTTATTTTA